TGTGTGTTGACATATCAACTGTTTTTACATGCTTGAAAGAATAAATATTAAAGAAAATAATAGCATCGGCACTTTCTAATGAAGGTTCATTACTGATAAAACTATCGAACAAGCACAAAACTAAAGCCCATTCCAGATGGGAGTTTTGTGCCAGTTTTCCACTTCACTGTTCTGTAGAAAAGGTACAGTACCGGCCTCTGTGCAACTCTGGGAAGGATTTTGTGTGAATATAGTCACAACATACACTTCAGTGTGTTCTTCTGTGAACGGTGTGTGTAGCCGTCTGCAAAAACAAATAACCTAAGTAAAGAAAATGTCTAACAGTCTGAGTCGAGTGCCTTAGCATATTAAACGGTTTTGAGGGGCCGATCTAATATGTAAGATCAGAGGTTGGGTTACCTTTACCTCCAAGTCTAGAAGAAGAGCCGGTTAGAAGCGAGTGATCAGTAGATGTGAGGGCTCTGGGAGGACAGTAGGGCTTTAAATGGTCAAAGATGTGACTAAACCATTAAATGCTCTAACCCCGCTGTCTCTGCTGCAGCTGCAGAAGCTCAAGTATAAACACGGTGAAAAGAACATTGACTTTACGTTATCATTCAGTGAATATCAGTGAAACATTCAGATATTTTGCAGGCCTGCTCAACACTCACTCATGAGATGTAATAATCTTCCATACATTTGTTTCATGTTGCAGGATGAAAACCGCATGGACAAACCTGACTGGTGGCATTCCCGACTCAGTCACAGCCAGCGTTGCCATGACAACACACACCCTTTTCCTGCCCCTTCACCATCACATGACCTGAAAGCGTCATGTGACTTGATGAGCCACCAGTATCAGTCAGATCTACAGGTGAGGTGAAAACGTCCGTTGTGGTTTTGATGGAGAAAGAAAATCAATTACCAACCATTAAACAAGCTCGTTGACCTGACACGTATCAGGCAGCGCGGAGGCTGCCAGAGGATGTTGTGGGCTCTGTAATTAATGTATTGATTTATTAATGGAAAATGATTCACACAGCTCTGGAAATAATACTGGTAGAGTCATTAATGCCCTCAGAGGAGAACTGAGCTCTGTATGTGTAGGCAGATATTTCTGAACTATTCTTAAAAAGTTTTCATGTGAAACTAAGAAATGTCTGAAACTGCTGAGGATTAACAGAAGCTCTGTTCTTCAGGATGAAGAAGAGCCATCCATTTGTGAAGAATCTGAGCTTCCTCTTTCTGAACAAAGGTGAGAAAACACAAGCATGCCATAAAAGACAGATAATATTTCCAAAACCACAGAGAAAAGCAGTGTCCTTTATGCTCCTGCAGAGAATCATGTAGAGCAAAGACCGACACACAGGTACATGTGTGACTTAACATTTGAGTGTGCAGTGTTTGTGCTTTGAGACGTTTTCTTTCACTACAAAAATTTAAAAATTAACCCCTAATGTCTGTTTAGTGGAGCCGAGTCTCCTATTGGTTAATGATTCCCAGCTAAGTTTCATCAGTTAGTAGAAAATAATTAAAAACTCTTCATTGTGCCAGGACTTTAGTTTCAAAACTAAAGTCACCAAGAAGAACAAAACATGTGTCAGGATGTCAGAAACAGGAGTGGACAGCCTTCAGATGCCAAAATAGAAGTCTGCAAAATATTTTATTTTAGATTTTTCATATTTAACAATCTAGAGCTTCAGTTTTATTTTCTACAGATTTAAATTTATAGAAACTCAACTAAACTTGTCTCTGTATTCTCTGCAACCAAACCACATGCATCATTTTAGAAAACAGGATTATTTTGAAATCAGATGCTTAAGTAATGTCCTTTAATTTCACAAGGTCCAAATGGTGCTTCTTATTTTTCTCCACACGTACACGAGTAAACCTCAGGCGGTGAAATACACAGTCCTTTTAAGTTATTTTTTTTATTTGTTGGCCTAAAAGTGGTCATGTTTAAATAAAGCACTGGAACCGTATTCTACCACGATTTTAACTGGAATTTGTAAATTCACCAGATAAGAATTGAAGAAATGGCACAGATGTAAACATGAGGTTCAGGGTCCAGTCCAGCTGGAGAGCCCCACGTGTCAGACCACCACAGTTTTATCCATTTGTTCCAATGCAGAATGGTGCTCTACTCTGGTTTATTCTTTGTATGGTTTTTTTTTTGCACAGTTTGCATCTCCATTTCTTCCACAAGCTTAAAAATCCTTCCGTTCCTCCTTTTAAGTTTTAATTACAGGCTCCACAAACCCTGTCCTCTGTTGTCTTTCTTTTGCAGAAGACTGGTGGTTACTGTTGTGTTTGTTGTATTCGTCCTTGTTGTGTTATATCACATCTTGCTGTAGAATCAGGCTCAACAGTACTGCCAACACCTGAAAGTGAACTTGGATTTCAGCAGAGGTCAGAGTTAGTTCCAGGAACTCGTCCTTAAAACAGACTGAGACCAGTGGAAACAAAAGTCTCGGTAAATTCTTGTTGTATTAAACTTCCGTGTATTCTTGCAGTGGAAGGAGCTGTAGCTGCCACAGTCGGTTCTGTTGATTCAGGGGGCCCCCCCGTCTGCTCGCTCCATGTTGACTTTCTAGCTCTAGTAACAGATGAGACAGCTGGTCATGCCAGAGTCAGGTGTTCAGTGTCCAGTTCCTGAACAGCAGGCAAACCAGACACTAACACCGCCTCCCCCTTCTCCTGCTCCACAGTGCGTCTTCCAGCAGCAGGGCCTCCCCCTCCCTGCTCTCCTCAGCCCTCCTCTACCTCCTCCTGGCTGCGGCTCTGGCTCTGCTGGCGTTTCTGGTGTGGGTTGCCCTGGAGCCGCCTTGTCACCGCAGCGGCAGGATGCATCGGAGCTTCCACCTGGCACTGAGATACATCAACGGACCGCCGCCTACCTGAAGACTCTCATGGACAGAGTCTGGACAAACCACCCTCCTTCGACTCTGTCGGACAGAGGTGTGCAACTCATCATGTAACGTTTCAGTTCAGCTCAACTGTTAAAGATCTGATGAAAATATGTAGGAGTGGCAGGATGAAAAAGACTGAGGCCGCTATATTGTTTTAGGGGAGCAACTGTCACCAACTCCTGACAGTAAAAAAGTGAGCACCAATAGTAAGTCAGTCCTGTAACACTTGAAAGCCACTGAAAAAAGCCTGTCTCCTTTTTTTTTTTTTTTAAGAGGACAATATTTTGCCAGTAAAGTGAAACTGTTTCACTTATTCTGTTGTTGATTGAGATGAACAAGTTGTAAAGCTTCAGAAACTGTGGAATCACGATGCAGCGGGAAGTGGACTGCTCATTCACACAGACCTTTCCAGTCAGAGGTTTTTACAGCAACTGTGCTTTCTTGCTTGTTTGGCTCCTGACTGGACACGGGTGGTTTAATCTCTGCTGAACACAAGTCTTTAAATCCTAATTCTACCAAAGCAAAGCACAAAACCACATCTGTTATTTGTCATGTTATATCTGATAGCTCCAAGTAAGCTTCAGTTCATGATGTTGTTCACTCAGTATCTCGCCCCTGTCACTTCATCTTACAGACTGAGTTTAGCTCTCTCCTGTAATGTCATTTGTTAAATGAACAGTGTATAAACAGTTTTAAATGTGCCCTTGTCCCCCGGGAGGAACCATTAATCCAACACCAAAACATATCAGATGTCACTCTGACCAAAGTATACTCACTGATTTTAAACACTGCCCTAAAATATGTAACTACAGCAGAATGTATAATAACTAATGGGAAGTTGTAATATGTAATAATACTTCATATCTTCATCCAGCACTGAGATGGCAGTCGTATAGTAACAGCCTCATTTACCAGCGAGATACCGTGTAGGAGTTGTGAGTGGCTGATGATGTCAAGGCTGCAAAGTCGAGTGGCTTAAGTGCTCAAGCTTGGCAAAAAAAAAAAAAAAAAAGAAGCCCTTTCACTGTCAAACATAAAACCGTGTTCCCACAGCTGTGACTAAGTTAATACTGTTGGCCAGTTAGCACTAAAGCGTGCACTGAAGGTTGAATGTCTGAGGAGTAAAACTAGAAGTATTCACAGTATTTGCTTATGTGTTGTCTCTCTCCTGACGTTCAGGGCTGAAACGGCACGAGCTTCAAGGAGATGAAGTCACATCCAGAAAGCTCTGACAACTCGTATTACTGTGTCTCATGGTTCCGACATCAGATTTATTGTCTTGCATAGGTCGCCTCTTTAAACTGCCATCTGTGCTGATGTAGCTAAAACTAATTTAAAGGATGCAGCATTCATGTTGTAAAGTATTTAGTACTGAACGAGCCTTGTTGCACCGTGATAGCACTTGTTTTGTAACGTCATGTATCGCCACAGTGCAGTCGCAGTGAAACATATGGAAGTTAACATTTATGTCATGTATTGTTTTTATGCTTCAGCCCAAACTACCAGTCACGTGTGCTCTGTCCATTACTGCTGACCTGTTTCTGAAGCACATCAGTGTTTTGAGATTGAAGGTGGCCTTCCTTCTCGGCTCACAGCCGTTCCACGTCTATGAAAACCTTCATGCAGAGACATGAAGCTTTCTGCACAGTCTGTGATCAGACTTGTGTTCTGGGCGTGTGGTGATCCATCTGAAAAGGCTGCACTGCTTTTCCAAAGAACAATAACTCAGCCTTGACCAAAATAAAAGCATGCGTGTCATGGGTTGTCTGTTTGCAGCTTGTTTCAAGTCTCTGCAAGTTGAGTTCCAGACACAAACATGGAAGCATCTCTAGTTTTACCTCGCAAGTGTTTGCATGCTGCAGGTGAGACGTGCGCATGAAACCAAAGAGGAG